CTCAACTATTTCAGTCTATCACAGCGTCTGCAACTAAAACAGCAACTGCACTGTAAGAATTTCACATGGTTCTTGAAAGAAGTATATCCCGAGTTGAATGTGCCCGAACGAGAGGATGGTCAGTATCTAACTTTCAAACAAACTGGTTTATGTATCGATTCATTGGGTAAACAGAATGTTCGGTCACCTGTTGGTGTTTATTCGTGTCATGGTACTGGCGGGAATCAGGTTGGTTATTCATTTGTCTTATCAACAAATTAAGTGGGTGTGATTGATTGATGATGCTTTGCAGTGCAAAAGAACTTGCAGGAGTGGGTATTCGATAAGTCGAAGGGTACTTTAAAGAATCCGTTCACGAAACTCTGTTTGAGTGATAGTGAAATTGGTGTGGTATCGCAGCAGAAGTGTGATGCGGTTAGTTCGTTGATTGAATTGTTCGAATGAGAACTGATTATTGATTGGAGTAGGTTTTTTGATGTTGTTGATAAACTGATTGATTGTGTGTTTGAAGGTTGATGGTAAATGGGTGCTGGACGAGGCCGAAGGACGAATGCAGTATAAAGATTTATGCGTGGCTTTAATAAAGCGTACACCCGAGAACATGCAGAAGGACGAAAATGTGTTGATGCTGATGCCATGCGATGGCTCTGATCGAAGACAAAGATGGATATTTGAAAAGAGTAACTTCTCATAGATTGCCTTTGATCAGTATCGGTTTATTGCATTATAGTGATAAGTTGATTGTTGTTGGTGAAGAGTTGTTAATTGTAGTGATGAAATCAGTGATGGGGAGCAGGTAAGTTTTTGAGCAAAATGTACTCTGAGCATGAGCTTTTACCCATGTGTGGCTTTTACTCAAAGCATAAGTAATTATCAAACACACGTTTGTGGTGAGCACTGCTAAACTGTCGTCAACACCTTTTAATCAAAACCCATCACTGGATGAAACGTGAAAACAGCTTTAGAGTTAATAAGTTTTGTNTTTCTTCTTCGTGTTTCATTAACATCTGATGTTCTCAATTGTTTTGATGGTGCCATTCTGATACTTTTCTTTTCGTCTTTTCTGTATAGCCATCAGTCTTAATTATTTTATATTCTTTGATGATTGCTTATCTTAGATGCATTTTGCCTCAATGATTTCGTATCTTGAGTTTACTACTTACTCTATTCTTTTCTTCTCACTTCACAGTTTCTTTATATGAATGCTTTAGAGAATATCGCTAATCGAGTCAGTTTTTGTGATTTTTGCATTTGTTATCATTGTAACTTCTGTATTGCTTTAATCAGTATGTTAGATGAGGTCTGCCTTGTTTTGAGGCGTTTGCATTGGTCTAGCCAGTGATATGTGCATTTATAGTCGTGAAGTAATTTCGGTTCGTGTAAGCTTTCTTGCCAGGCTTTATTTTCGTTCATCGTGCAATATGTCATGCTTCTTGCCTTATAGATGTTATATTCTAGTCATGTTTGGATGAGATGAATTAGGATATAATCTCGTTTTGAGTATTCTGGTACCTTTTGACTGCTGCTGCTTCCCTATACTACCTTCTTCCTCTCATCTACTCATCCATCCTTCAGTTGTTTTCTCGTGGAAGTGTTTATTATATAATATGTGCTTGATTGATTGGCATTTCAGTTATTAATTTATAACATTACCAGTAATCTCTTTACATTTATTGTCTTGCCTCATTGATTT